AAAGAAGATCAAACACGAAAGCCGAGTGAAAGATGATGCTTAGCCTCCAGCCGAACTCTTAACGTGGGTTTGTCACAAAGTTGGTGAGGGCATTTGGTGCTGTGGCCAAATCACAAGGTCTAGACCACAGCCAGAGCAGTGAGCTCGAGTTCATACGCCCAAAGCTGATCTTTGATCTGACCAGACGAGGCAGCCAAGAAAAATACCACCAGACAATCCTTTTCACGCTTAACTTAAGCTCAAACATTCTCACAATCCTCGTTCCTCTCATTAGAAAGAGCCGAGCATGAGTCTGCATTCATTAATGCAGTTATTGTTCACTGATTAAGTCGATTAAGAAAGGACCCCCCGGTCAGAGTAATGTTTACTTGTGCCTCCAACTACCATGGCTCAAGCAGGGAATTGCAGAGTGAGTGATATACATACGTGCAATTTTTTAAAAACACAATTTGATTGACCAGCATTTCAAAGTACTTCCACTTTTGAACTTTGACTTTCAGTTAAATATGACATTTTATTAGTATTTTCTCTTCCACCGCAATTATTTCTCCTTCCCTTTTAAAATTTAATTCAATTCAGGTTTATTTATATAGCGCCAAATCACAACAACAGTCACCTCAAGATGTTTTATACAAAAAGGTAAAGACCTACAGCATACAGGAGGAAACCCAAATAATCAAATGACCCCCAAGTGACCCCATATGACCAAGTACTTAGGTTGGAGAAGGAATGCAGTCTGATCTCGCAGGAGCTGAGCGGCCTCTAGCCAAATAACTCGTGACTCTATTGTTAACCGCTGACCCTTTGTGGCACACAAAGCTTTTCCAGGAGAGCAGCACTGCTCACATAGTCTTGTTTGGGTGCAGCGTGGATAGATACTGATGGTGCGGTCATGAGAGCACGTTAAAGATAGATTTGTTGCTAAATGTTACTTTTAGTGACATTACCCTTACTGAAAAATAATGAACCTCTGTTTGGACATAAATCAGGTGCCCAATTACAGTATATCAGTAGTGTTTAAAATGTGTTAGATCAGTGCTGCCCTCCTATGGCCATTTGGGAAAACAACAACAGGTTCCAATCTGACATAGTAATAAGCACATGATTGTTTGAAATGAGTTTTGTCTTTTTAAACTTGTAAATGTTAATTGGATTGTTCTTTTCTATTCTGTCTACCTGAGCACTCAAAGCGCTATATACAACTTGCCTTATTCACCCATTCATACAAGCACTTTTTTTCTATGCATAATTGCTTACTATCTAACATTCACACATTCATACCCTGATGAATGCATTGGAGAGCAATTTTGGGTTACTATGTTGCCAAAAGATATTTGGCACATAGAGTGGAGCAGCCCAGGACTCATACCACCAACCTTCCAATTAGTAGATGACCTGCTCGTCCTCCTGAGTTACAGCCACCCCAGCTCGTCAGGCTACCTGAAGCCTGCCTTCATCACTCATTTTCAGAAGAATGCCTTTTTGTTTCTTAAACCACCTACTGCTGACCATGAATGATTAAGTATATAAAAAAAAAAGTTAAAATTGTATCTTTAGTCACTTTGTTACCAGCAGGCTGTCACAAAAGGCACATAATTTATTCCAATTTCTTAAGCTGAACTTATGAAAAGAGACACAAATGACCCAATTTGACCTATAATATAATATTGTCGCACAAACAAGGTGACTACCAGAGATATTAGCTGAAAATGTGAGATATCTCGGTGTAGTATGAAGTGTTTCCTTAAAAATAAAACAGATGAAACAAGTGGAGCGAAAAAGAACAAGGATCAGGCCTTAAAAACTATCTACAGCAGGTGAGCAGAATCTGAAAGTCATCCATCTACTGTTCACTGAAGCATCTTCAGAAATGGTCTCTGGAAGGGTGGCTGCCAAGAAGCCATTCTTAAAGTAGGGAAACAGGCAGAAAAGACTGAGGTGTGCCAAATTACACAAGAACTGAAATAAAAATCAGTGGCAACAGGTCTAAAGGAGTGAAGAATCCAAATTTGACATTTTTGGTTCAAATCGTTATCAATGTGTACAGAGGAGGTCAGCAGTGAGCGTCTACAGCCATCTGTAAAACATGATTGAGACTCTGTCGTGGTTTGGGGTTGCATATCAGCTAAAGGTATTGGGGATCTTGTCAAAATTGATGAAATTACAGACACAGAAAAGGATTTTGATCCACCACGTAATACCAACAAGAAATTTAATAAAAGCACACTGGGATAGAAACACAAACACCGGAATACCAACAGTCATGGATTGGCCTCCTCAGAGCCCGAGCTCAAAAGTACTAAAGCAGTGCAGAAAAATCTTGACAGAAAGCAGAATAAAAGGCAGCCAACATCCGAGCTTTGAATGTGCTGGAGAACTATTCCTGATAACGACTTAAACTAAAGACAAGAAAGAGATATTGCCATTGAAGCTCATTAGAATTGTACAAATTGTTTTTGTCTTATATACTGTATTTCCAATCATATAATATGGGGTATTGTATTTTGTAAATCACTGGACCCATTTTCCTGCCAAACAGCACTACAGGGAGTGCAGA